CTATAACAGCAATTATCAGGATGTCAAAACAACTTTCTAGCCAAAATAAGACTTGTTACTACAAACATGACTGAGGCAAAGAGAAGGATGCTTTGGTCAAGTGTGCAAGCCCTGAAGTTCTGCTCCCCTAATCACTATGGAAGGATAGGGCAGTTGTGTTCTTCTGAGGTCTAGAAGGTAATTTTATGGATTCCAGTAGTGAATTTTTTTTTTCATTGGAGCAATGAGTTTGGAGATGAGGGGGGACAGAGTAGACAAACTATCATGGCAGTATCTCATTTCATGTCTCTTTGCTAAGGTGAAGCCATAACTATTTTAATTCTCTTATGTAGGAAATTCAAGGCACAAGAACCATATTCTCAGGTACTCTAGCTCCAACCACTACCCCTCTACTGCCAAAAGCAGTATAATGTCCTTATTTCTGTTATCTCTAGAATAAGAAAAAGTTGGATCTAATAAGTCTACCAATCCCTTTAACATTATCATGAAATAAATCCTTTATTGCCCCCATCAAAACTTTCAGAAAATTCAACTTGCATATTCAAACTATTTCCCAGATACCAAAGAGATCCTGAAACAATCTTCTTAGCCTCTTAAAGTCTAAAGTTCCTGTTTCTTATTTCTAGACATCTTCTCGCTAGATGGGCTGCCTTTTTAAGAAACAGCAACAATTTTTATATTTTTGTTTTGTTTTTGTCCAGACTTGTGATTTGATGGGCATAAGAAGATCCTTTCCAACTAATGCAGATTGGAATCTAATAGATAACTTATAGACATAGATATACATATATAAGAGGCAATGAATGCTTAAGAATCCTGTCTATAGTCACATAGCCCATATGCATCAGAGGCAAAACTCAAAAAAGTTTCCATTTTCAAGCTGGGGACTCTACCCTCTATTCAACACTGCCTCTCAGCAACCTGGGATATTAGGAGATTAAACAGAAAAACCTGGAATGAAGGGTAAAGATTACTTACTATCTTAAGCCCTGGAATAGAGGTTTTTAGACTAAATTTAAAGAAAGTAGCAAGCATTCAATATATTTCAAGGAGGATCATTCAAAGATGTCTCATGTGAACCACTGGATTTCAGAGTTGCTGCTTGCCAAGAAAAGGAAAGGTATGACCCATGGTCTTCAAAGAAAAAGATCTGCAACTGTCTGCATATGTGTATGCATGCTTTTATAAATACACATTTACGTACATGCTCTTGATACCTCTTCTATAGGCCTACTTTGATGCTTCCTTGTGATGTGGAGTGACCTAGTGCTTAGCATAGTGCTCTACTCATAATAAATGCTTAATGAACTGAATTGGCCAGGGGTACTGGAAAGATTTCCAGTACAGATGATGATAGACCATTGTTTCTCATCTGAGCACAAACCTAGTTGAGTTCAGAAGTTCATCACCTGAAAGTTGGCCACCTGATTATGGCAATGGAGGGGATGTAATCTATATCAGTGGTAGAAGAAATCAATGTTAGTGAAATCAGTGATCTGTGAAGTACTGCAGTGTACATCCACACAAATACACACACACATACACATGCATGTGTGTTTGTATATGTGCATAGATACGTCTAGATATTTATTTTTGGATATTTTAGTATGATATGAAAACCCGGAAAATATTTAAGGTAGAAGTACCTCTAATAGATCAAGCAGAAGAAATTGTTACAATGCCTTCACTTCCAAAGAAAAATGTTTTTCAATTATTCATTCTTTGGTACCCACAGGACCAATTATCCACGAAAAATTTATCTTTAAGATCTAAGGTAAGAAGACAAAACCCATAACCTAGTTGTCTTTGGTTCTGTCCTTAATTTATATGACCCTGGCCAAATTATTTAACCTTATTAGATGATCTAATTCTTCATTTTTAGAGTTTGGTTAAAAAATACTACCTTTACAAAGCATATGAGAAAGAGTAATTAAAATTATTATGAAGCTGCACATATCATACTTTAACTTAAATAATCAGTTCTTTGAAAACAGGTAGATGTGTCATGATAATATTTCCATATTATAGGTAATATGTTTTCTCAGTGAAGCCAATAACAATAATAGTAATAAAAAAGATATATTTTAAAGGAGTTTACATTAACAGATACAACCAGTAGGGGTCATTTCAGTGCAAAAATTGCAGCAAAGAAAGACACTAACATGAACAAAATATATAGGATACTGTTGATGTTGGTTACAATAATTACTACGTTTCTGCCTGGTGAATATCTGAATAAAACTGGAAAATGAGTGAAACACCTGTCACTGTGGAATTTCCTGCAAAACAACAGAAAAGAAGAAGGAAAAGCAAGTATCTTCTGGATAATTGTTAGCACATTAAAGATTTTCTTTCAGTTCTGCACATAAGAGAACAATAGTACTTCCCTATCACATTTTTTTCATCAAAAGGGTGGTAATCACTAAAGTCAGTCAAAATTTACAATATATGGCTAGTCTTAAACATGTTTCTAGAACCAATATGATCAACTGCCACTATCATCCTTGACAGACTGACTAAATCATATATAACCTGAATCTGTGTCTTTATAAACTTTCAGTTTCTTAGATTTGGAAACAAAAAACGTCTTGCTACTTTTAAAATTCTAAGAAAGCTCTGAAGAGTTACCTTTTGGTAGCCGAAAACAAATCTGCTAGAATTAAATCCACTGCTACAGAACAATAATTGAAATCTAATCATGTCAAGCAACTCTTCTAAGTATTTTCCATGGGAATACCAAATGCATGGGGTGTTAACCAGTGGAAATGAAGCTATGTAGAAATTTCATCACTTCAGAGGAATGAAATGCTCACCAGGAACTGCCAAAAGAACTCCATACTGTGACATGGTAAAAAATGTGGCCAAAACATTTGATTACTCTAAAGATTCACTGTGCTCTTCCCTTCCTTCACCAGATTTTGGTGAGAAGAAACAAAACTAAGTTAGAACTAGATCTCAAGTACCTGTGAAAAATTAAAGCCAAAGCAAAAAATCCTTCCCTGAGACCAAAGCAATTTTCTTGTGCAGCCACAATTTTCTAACTTTGTATTTTCTCTGGAGACAAATCGATAAAGCTGGATCAAGTCAAATATACATTCTGGGTAACAACAAATTAACACTTTTTCAAAAGATCTGTACTTTCCTTAGAAGTAAAAACTTTGCTCATGTCAGAAACTGATCCTAAATGTTGCATTCCATGGTGGTACACATAAAGTAAACAGAAGCAACCTGAGCTAAGTCACTGTCATAAGGGCAACACTGTCTCCTCTACTCTTGTTCTTTACCAATTCTGAAGCATGGCCTCCTTTAAAAAGAGTTTCCTATCATCACTACTGCTAGTAACTTACAAACCAGAAGATTCTTTCTGACTTTCCTGAATTGTCCAGACTTTTAAAAACAAAGACAAGTAACATGTATCTACACATAATTTATTCCCAAATAAAGGGGAAAATGACCGTATAAATCTGTCACTATAACTATTTTTGCTTTAAAATTTGACAAACCATACCTGAACACTAAAGGTAACCTGAAACTCTGGAACTATAACCAATTTTTTAAAACCCACTGAAATGATTCTTCCCTCACTACCTCTTAAATGAGCTATGGAGGAAAGTGACAGAAAGAGGGGCAGTTTTCCCTCTTCCCCTCCCATTCCATTCCCCCCACCCTTTTCCCAGTCTTCCATTGGCAGGGAGTGAGTCTGACTTTATGACTTATTCAGCAAAACCGTACCAAATAGCATCACCATCTACAGCTCAAAGGGGATTCCTCTTTCCCCTGGCGTCTACTTGAACTTCTCTAAGTCGTGCTGCATAGCCAAATAAAATTAACTTTATCTCTCTCCCTTTCCCCCACTCCTCCCCCTCCTGGGCCGTGTGGTCAACCTTGGGAGGGAAAGGCAAGGAAGCCGGAATTTAGGCTGACATCCACCAACAGTAGCTCGCCAAACTAAGAACGCTACTGCTCTTCTCATCGAGGGCTACCTATGTCAGTCTAAACCTAGATGGGGTATGGGTGGGTTGGGAGCAGTCTAATACACAAAATGCTGCTGAAACAGGGGCAGAACAACCACTGCTGTCAAAAAAAAAAAAAAAGTACCAGCTCCAGGATCAAAAAGGCAGCAGTTATCTCATCTTGAAACCAACAGCAAATAAGGGGCCCCCAGCAACCAGCAGCTCCCCCATTCGGGCTCCTCGGACTCCTTTTCTCGAGGAGAAAGAGAAGCCTTTGACCGTTTTCAATAGGCAAATAAATGAGTAACTACAGTATGCAACTTCCCCAGCGCTGACATATTCGGGAGCTGAAATTGATTTATATGCGTAGGGAGGAGGAAAGGGGAGGAAGAGAGGCACACACAAGGAGAGGGAGCTCCATCAACAGAGAAGAGACTTTCTCGTACGGTATTCTGAACGTTGTTTCACACTGCAGTATCAGGAGGGAGGGCCGGGGAGGAAGGAGGGGAAGGAAGGAGAGAAGGAGGTAGGGATCAAGGCCGGGACTTCCCCCCACGGAGCAGCCCTCGGGCAGCCTCTGCAGTGCCCCCCGAAGAAGGCGCAGCAGCCTCCAGGACTAGAGTCTGCACCACCCCGCACAGGACCAGGCTATTTAATCTACGGAAAAACGAGGATACTCTCCCTCCCCAACATACACAGGCACACACACCCCAACCAACACCCCTAAGGGCGACAGGAGGGTGTGTGTGTGGGGGGGAAACACCGCCCCACACTACTCCCCCCCCAAAAAAACGACTGCAGCTAGCAAAGGGGACAAGGAAGAGAAAGGAGGCGGTGGCTCTCCTGGGGGCGGCGGCCGCCTTGCCTCCCTCCTCTGGCCCCTTCTTGCCTCGGATAAAGTCTCAGCTAAACTTTGTTTAGCAGAGTGAGTGCGCGCCGAGGTTTAGGGGGTGGGGGTGGGAAGGATGGAGGGTACGAGGGCTGGAGCTGGGCCTCGGCCGGAGGAGGGGGAGAGTGAAAGGTGGGAGGAGGGCGCGCTCACAGTACCTTCGCAAACGCCGACTTCGTACTCGGTGATGGAGTCGCCATTGAGCGGCGGGCGGATGACACAGCGGAGCCCCCGGTCGCAGGCTCCGTGGAGCCCGTACACGCCGCCGCAGCTCTCGTTCCTCTGCCGGGCGCACATATAACAGCAGCCGCAGATCCCCTGCACGATGCTGCCCGGGCAGTTCTTGGGCTCTTCGCACTTGGACTCGTCGCAGGGCAGGCACACCAGTGCCCGGGTGCCCGAGCGCGCCAGCAGCAGCGGCAGCAGCAGCGGCCCCAGCAGAGCGACCAGGAGGTGCCCGCAGCCGGCCAGCCCCCTGCCCCCCACCACCAAGTACATCCTCCTCTAGCGCCGCCGCCTCCTCCTCGCAGCCGGGCCGGGAGTGGAGCGGGCGCCCTTCCCTCCTCCGGGCACACTCGCCCCGGCGGGCGCCCAGCCGGAGCCCACGGTGGCCGCCGCCCCCTCCGGCTCCCCCCGGTGCGCTACTCCCCAGCCGGGGCAAGTCCCCCCACTCCCCCTTCGGCCCGCGCGGACCCCAATCCCACTAGCGTTGGCGCCTGCAGCCGCAGCGGTAGCTTCCCCTCCTCCTCCTCCCAGGAGGGAGGGAGAAAGAAAAAGAGAGAGAGAGAGAGAGAAAGAAAGAGGAAAAAAAAGTTTCCTCTCGGCAGCTCCGGTTCAACCCAAACTTCTGGCGGAGGCAGCGGCGGCCGCGCTGGGCTCCAGCCCCGCGGCTGGGCGGAGGTGGCGGCTCCTCCTCCTGCTCCGAGAGCTGTGGTGGCCCCCGCAAGAGCAGCAGCAGAAGCACAGGCGGCGACGGCGGCAGCAGTAGCAACAGTCCCCCCTGCAACGGGCTCCCAGGGTCCCCGCCTCCGCAGCCGGGCGGGAGCGGTGGCGCAGGCTGAAGGTTCGCGGTGTGCGCCGCCCAGTCCGCTCTGCGCGCCCCAGCTCGCCTCCCTCCTTTCCGTCTCCTCCGGCCGCTTGTTTATGGCTCTCCCGGATCCGCCGCTCCGGCTTCGCCCTCCCCCATCCCTACATCATCCCACAGACCTCGCCCCCACCGGCTCCGCGCGCCTCTCATTGGCTGCCCCCCCCACGCCCCCTCGCCTTCCCCTCTCTACCCCCTCCTCCCTCCCTTCCCAGTCTACCCTATTCCTTCCTCTCTTCACTTGCCGCCTCCTCCCTCACGCCTCTTTCCACCCGAAGCCGGCCCCGCTGCGCTTTCAGCCAGCCCGCCTCTCCTTCTCCTGGAAGCAACACCGAGGACTGGGACTGAGATCTGCCTCAGGCTCGCTCAGGCTGAGCCCTAGGGGTACCAAGCCACCCCCTAGCTTCGGAGAGACTGGCGCGTGGGTGCTCAAATCAGAAGAGGCTGAGTTCTGGTGTCCCAAACCTCGGCGGTGGTGACTCCAACACCACGACTGTCTGCTCTCTCCCAGCAGTGGCCTGGAAGCCCGACTGAGACACTTTCAAATGCAGAAACTGCACCGGGTCTGGATACGTGGTGGCAAGAATGTGTGTGTGGGGGGGTTGTGGGTGACAACGGACACAGACCTCAGGGAGTGGGGGACTACCGCTGCCTACACTGTGTAAAACCAACAGGGCCTGACCACCAGTCGCTGCTACAGTCTTCCAGTATGAGACTGGGATGCGTCTGTGAAACTCAAGGAGGCAGGGGGTGAGGAAGGAAGGCGATTCCACCTCAACCCTGGACAACGTATTCAGAAACCATCTTCTATTGGGCATTAAAATATGCTTTGAAAAGGTGTTATGTAATGGAGTCTCCTGAAGCATGAGGGCTCTAGGGCTAATCAGCTGGTGATCCAAGTGATTAAAACCGTCTAGGTAAATATTATGCAGGAGTAGAAATGTTGGGTGTTTTAGCTAGAGTTGAATTTGTACTGCCCTGTTCCTATACAGTTCTATGTTTCTGCTGACTTGCAATATTCTCAGGAAAGAACGACCCCAAAATAATAGGACTATTTTTTTTCTTCTTAAGCAAGGCCAGTTACAGTTTTACTAAAAGCTTTAACATGCTACTACATGTCTCACACCATTTTAATATGCCATCAGACATTGTTGTCAGTTTCTTTACAAAGCTCATAGAGTGAAATGGTTTCTAACATGAAATTTAGGAATTAAATTAAGGTATGTGATGCCCTGTGTGATCCATCATATATAGAATTCATTCATTCATTCATTCATTCATTCATCTGTTAAGCTTCTATTATGTTCGAGGCAGTGTGCTAGGTTCTAGGGTCACACTGGTATAGATAGATAGATAGATATAGATAGATAGATAGATAGATGGATGGATGGATAGATAGTGTAGATAGAAGTGAATGATTGAATAAAGTCCCTGCTTTCAAGAAAAAACATTTGAAATGAAAAGTACATTCACCAAGATTATTTACATAGAAGATTTTCTCAGGAATCAATCCACATTATGATCTGAATGGAGTCAATCAAATGAATGGCCTGGGGGGGGAAGACTTTCCAATCAACTTAGGGGGAAAAAATCTGTTTCTAGGATCATTAGTTATGAAGTGATTCACTTATTATCCATGGAGATTTAAGCTACAGGAAAGTGCTGTCCAAGAAGATACTGAATCATGACAGTAGAGCAGCAACAAAACAGAGTAAAATTGTAGAGGAAAGAAACAAAGACTCCTTTTGAGATCTGTCTGGGGACCAAGTTGAATCTTAAGAAGATTTGTGGTTTAACCACCACAATCCAGAACTACTATCTCAGAGTTGCCAGTGAAATGACCATGGAGGCACCAACATTAGATGCCAAGTTTTCTACTACAAGGGCCAGGGGAAGAAGTTACACAAAATCACAGTCATTTATAACCCCTGAATTAATCAATAATAAAACAGCAAGCATTCATTAAACACTTTTTACATGACAGGCTCTTGGCTAGATACTGGGCAACAGATATAAAAGGGAAACAAGCACTAACTTCAAGGAGTTTGCAGGAGGTGAGACATTTGTGGAGTGGTGGCCAAGGAAGGGAGCTTAGATCTAAACAGTTACAGAGATTCTAAATGAAGCCCTAGGAGAGTAAATTATCACACTCTTCCCAATAGTAATGGTAATACTCATTTTATTATTGTTCCCTAGGTGGTAAAAAACTGGAAGCCATGGGAGGAGGGAAGGAGGACAGATGGCAAAATGCCTGTCTTGCTTAGGTCTGGTATTCTGGGGAAGGGCTGAATGGCAAGCTTGCCCAGAGGGTCAGTTAGACTTCTGACATGAAGAGGTATTGAAAAATGAGATGGGATGCCTTGGAAAGTAGTAAAAGAGAGAATGAGAGAAAAGTGTTTAAGCAGAGACTGGGTGATCTACCTGCCAGAAATAGGAGATTCCCACATTAGGTGGGAGAATGGAGTAGATGACATCTCTCAGGTCCCTTCCAGGTCTTAAGATTTTGTGAGTCCAAGGCCTCTCTGGAGAACATAATTCCAATTGCCAAGAGAACCACTATTAGCAAAACTAAAGAAGAAAAATCCTCACCTTGTAGAATATGATTGATTGGCTTTTTCATGAATTATGATCATTCACCTGTACAGAGTTCACAGATTTTCATATAAACCATCAAAGAATTGGGTTTGTCATCTTGGCTCTGTGGTGAAAGTAATCAGTATTACACTTCAATGAGTAAAAATGTAAGCAGGTGATGTTGTAAAGACTCACTGAAGAGGTTTGAGTAGGTAAGCTCATTTGCATCTTGGGAAGTAGATGGAGCCATAAATATACATTTTCCCTGCAGTTCTCAGTGGGTATCATCTAAAGGCAGAGGCAACAACTAGGCAAAGTTACAATCAAGTCAGGGAAAGACATGAAAAGAAAAAAATCTATACAATAATCTATACTGTAAATTAGGTGGCAAAGTGGTTAGAGCACTGGACCTGGAATCAAATTTGGCCTCAGACACTTACTAACTGTGCAAGTCACTTTAACCCTGTTCACTCGTTTCCTCATCTGTAAAATGAACTGAAGAAGGACATGGCAAACCACTCCAGTATATTTGCCAAAAAACTCCAAATGGGGTCACAAAAGTCGGAAAAGACTAAACAACAACAACAACCTTGTAGGTACTGAACCTTCCCTGATAGAACCAAGGAAGCCTGCCAATTTTCAGAACAGCAGAATAAGAATTAATTTTCCTGGGATTGTCAGAGAGCTAAGATACCATGAATGAAAAGTGGAAAGAGGAGAATAGAGCAGTAGAGACTTTAAGTCAGAGGGTCCAAATCCTAAAATTTAATACCTATGTGACCTTGAACAAGTCACACTATCTTGACCACAGGTTTCTCACATGTAAAACAATAGGGTTGGACAAGATGACCTCTAAGGTCCTTTCTAGCTCTAAGTCTGTGGTCCTTGAGATAGACCACATACCAAGGGACAATATGATGGCTATTATCTTGGCAAGGCTTCAGGGCTTCAAGCCTGGATGCTTGATAAACAATAGGCAAGGAAGCCTGACTTTGAATAGGAATTAGAGCCAGCCCTAAGAGCTGGCTAGAGAATATGCTTAAGACAGTTCAGAACAGAAGAATCAACATTCACTGAGAGAGAGTGCAGGACCTTTTGTTTGGGCCAGGAAGAAAACAGGGAGCAGAGAATAGGATTTCCTGAAGCCAGGAACAAGGAGAAACCCTATAAGGGGTGAAGGAGACATATGCAACGTCAGTGCCTCTGGCCTGAAGCCAATAGGGTATATTGAGGCCCAAACAGAAAAATAACTTTTCCAGGGGCTGGGAGCCAAAGGGAATCCCAGGAGCACAGAGGAGGTGATCAACTGCAGAGTGAGTACAACATGGCTGGAATCCAAAAGGGTGAGACTGGCCTAAGTCGAAAAGGACTTCCCTCTAGAGGCCAAATGGTGCTAGTTGGAAATTGTCTCATTTCAAAAACAGAGACAACATGGGAAGAGACATGCTGCTGTCTGGTCCTGCACATGAACTGGGAACAATCTGTCCAGATTTTAATTTAGAAACTGCTAAAGGATATGAGGAGAGAATCCAAGGCTTAGATATGCGATAACACAGTTTGTGGAAAGAGTTCTGCCTGCACTTGAAGTTAGGAGACCTAGATCTGAAACCCAGTTCCACTAATTTCCTAGATCTGTGACCATGAAAAAAGTGCCCTTATCTCTCTGAGCTCATTTCTTCAACTCTAAAATGGTGGTAATAATACTTATATTACTTGTGTCATTGTATTGTTATGGGGGGGGAAAGTACTTTGTAAACTTTAAAACACTGTACATGAATTTATATATTATACACACATACATATGCATATGTGTATGTATACATAATGTGACAGAACCAATTATGATTTGGGAATA